AAACAAAACGTCAAGGCTGAGGTAAGAACACAAAACGGTACTTGGATGACACACCGCAGCAAAGAACAAAGGGTGGAGGGCAAGGGGGAGGCGGGCGGGCACTAGGCAGAGGAATGAGGCGGTGGCAACAAGGCAACAAGACAGACAAAAGAACAAACAGCAAAAAAAGTTAAAAAAACAAAGCGAAAGAAAAAACAAAAGGTGTTCCAAATACCAAGCGACCAAGGTCCAACACAGGCACCGTGAGCTGACAGGCTAAGTTGCTCCAGGGAACTTCAAGAAATGTTCGGAAAAGATTTGGAGTTTATGTTTCTGGAAAAATAAAAACTATAGTTGAGGTTTTAGGGCTTAGGGTTTGGACAGAATTAGGGCAAACAGGGTTCAGAATAGCAGAGTTTTCATGTGGCTCACATGGGGGATTTACAGTTTAGACAAAATTGGCAGCTTTGGCAGCTTCTAGGACCTTTCTCACTAGTCATGCTTTACACGACAGGTTTTCGCAGTAGACCTGAGAGGAAATCCTCCAGGTCAGGGGTCCTTCGGCCGGACGGAAGGAAGCATGGGTAAGTACTTATGATGTATCCTGTAATTCTGACTTGCCGGTGGAATAGGAACCGGACTGACGCTCCCCAGAATGGAAATGGAGGCAGGACCATAAGGGCCTGTTTAAAAAAAAAAAAAAAAAAGATTGTTTCATTGGAGTTGCACCGACTCATCAGGAGGCTGAACCCTCGACAATCTGCGGAATCTCCATATTTGATGGTTTGGGTCATGAACCCTTCGACCATTGTTGAAGGCAGACTGTCCCCAAGCGGAACATAGCAGCAGGCAGCAACCCCGTGGAGCACCAGGCAACACGGCTGCACAACGCCAAAAACGACTGCAAGGAACGACATGGCACACAGGGCATGCAGCGTGACAACCGTGTACTGAAGCACAAGACAACACCAACAAGGCAACAGCACTGCAGAGGACGACAGGGCGAGCGGACCAGCAAGGCGGCAACCGTGAAGCGGAGCACAAAGCACCAGCAGCAAGACAACCAACCTACAGGGCACACCAGCGGCAAGCACGAAGGCACATCCAGCGGATGAATAGCATGGCAGCGGAGCAGTGAAGCGCAAGGCAACACCAACAACACGGCCACACCGCACAGCGAACACATCAACCTGCAAGGAACCACATGCGAAGCAAGCGGGACAGGCAGCAGGGCAGCGGCGGAGAGCAGACGAGGACGTCCACACATCCAACACGGAGCAAAGCAGCACATGACCTACTCACATCACGATAGAACCCCGCAGAGTGCGCAGACTGTTGGTTCCCACCACCCACTGAGCCAGGGAGTCACTCCGACGAACATCCGGCATCACTGACAGGCAACACAGACATCCCGAACCGAGCAGCCCCCATAAGAGTGCAGTAGGCACTCCAAACGAGAAACTTAGAAAAAATCAAGGGGAGGACATACAACAGAAGAAAGACCGACAGACATAAAACTGATTGTGTGTGTGTGTGTGTGTGTGTGTGTGTTGAATAGGCTTGGAAAACAACACCTCATGCATCTGACAGGAAACGACAGAATCCATTGACCACACAGGTGTTCAATGTTCCTTTTCGAAAACTTGAGAAGCATAGATGCAGAGGTGGGCGATTCAGGAAGGAATTGTTCATCCTGAAGCACCTTAAATTGGTCATGTGTTAGGACCTGCCAAACACGGACTGAGACACACAGATGATTTCTGAGTTTTGCCAATGGAATATATGCCTTGCTGAGTTTCCCGCTTGTTGCTGAGTTTTTTAAGTCTGAGTGTGTGCGTGCTTGCTGGTCTGCATGCCTGTCTGAGTGCATGTCCGTTTTTGAGTGTGTGTTACCCGCAAAGGGTACTTGTTCGTGCCATAGGCCCAAAGGGCCAGTACTTACCTGTGGTCGTGGCATTGAGGGTTACAGCGGGGAAAACACTCAAGTGGCAGGGAAAGAGGCCCGCGACACTTGGAGCAGCGGAAAAACACTAGAGTAACAGGTAGGCCGGTACCACACCAGGAAGAGGTAGATGTGCCGGGTACTTGAGGCCGGGCAGAAGAAGACAAAGTTGGCATTTTTTGAGGCCCAGTAGTTGTGCGCTAGGTCTAGGCGGGTACCAGTCCAACCAGTCGGAGTCTAGGGCCTGTACGGGCAATATCAGTGTCTGCAATGATGTTTCCCTCCGAATGGGAGGAGGTACCGGTTGCTTGGAGGCCGCACGGCCTAGGAAGTCACTCGCCAAGAGGCAAGCAGGCCGCTATATCTCCAGGAGGAGCGAAGTGCTCCTCCTCATCGTCGGTGTGCAAGTTTGGCGACACGCTGGTTGGAGCGCTGGCTGGAGCAGCGCTAGCATCAGAGCAGCGCTGGCATCAGAGCAGCGCTGCTGGGGAAGGAGCAAAGACAGAGAAAGGAGGAAGACAAGGACTAAGAAGGGGGAGCGCCAGAGAGACTTACCTGGCTATGGTGGTTGCCATCTTCATCACCTTGGTGGGCGCTGCAGCAGGAAGGCCCCAGTGGGGCAGAGCTACACCAAGAAGCTTCGAGGCAGAGTCAGGCATGGCGGCCTGAGCTGGAGCAGCCATAGCTGCTTCGTGTTGTACTTTACACAGCAGGGCAATGCCCTGCTAGTCCGCCATAGCCTCGGCCTTGGAGGAAGGAGGAAGAAGGGTGGCCATGGCTATGGTGGACCTCATGTGATACCTGCAGTAGAAGAGGGATTCGGACATTGATTCTGGTTCAGCCATTCAACATTATTATTGATATTATTTCTTGTTTGAATAAGAAGGGAGGAGATGAGGAGGAGGAGAGTGGTTGGCGAAGAGGAAGGGAATTCTCATCGGTCTTTGCTGGTGTACATCTTCTTCTTCTTTCTTTCATCTTCTTCTTCTTCTTCTTCTTCTTCTTCTTCTTCTTCTTCTTCTTCTTCTTCTTTCCCTCTCTCTCCTCTCAAGTTACTTCATTTCTTTTTGCAATTGGACGGCATTGTACTTTCTCGTGAATGTGTACTTCGAAATTGGCCAGGATCATAACATATGGGCCTGTTTTTTCCTTTTGGGGAAGAGAAAGGGGGGGGGGGGAGAAAGAGTGGGGGAGGGAAGTGAGCCAAAGCTCGCCCCATGTGATGGCATCCACCACACAGTGCCCAATTACACACAAACATTGAGACAACACAAACGATGCAGGCAATCAATGCCCATCAGCAGAAACTGAATGGCAACACACACCTTTACAGAGTAATACAGACCGATTCGGGAAAGACAACTCGAACTGGTATAATGCTTCCCCATACAAGAGACTGAATACTGAAATGTAAAGGAGTTCTTCAGTAAACCAAAGTGGTGCACATGTGTTCCAAGTTCGAACCAAAAGAGGGGGGCTTGGTTCAGATTTCGAACCTTATGTGATATTGACCAGAAAGCAGGTGCCAGCGCTGCTCCATTAGAGAGAACCAACGTCCAGTATGACAACAATTGTCCTGCTCATCCATTCACAGCATAATAGCATATATTTGTTTGAGCAGATGAGCAGACGAGGCAGAGGAGAAGAATGAATAAGGAATGGCGAGGTGATGAGAGAACAGAGGGAAGGGGACGAGTGACACAAGGTGCCAGCAGTTGTCGAGCGGTCAGAAGATGGCATATTGTAATGAAAGGCTCAATGAAGATGGGTGCACTGATTGAAAAAAAAAAGAAAAAAAGAAAAAAAAGATGGGTGCACTGCTAACAAGTTCCGTGTTGATCACACCAAACATCCCAATGTCAAAAAGACTGTTGTTTCAATGTTTCTGTTCTTTTTTTTTCCCTCAAGAAAACCATTTAAACTTTAAAGAAATTAAAAACCAATTCAATACAAGATGGTAAGCAGCTCACATCCCCAACTTTGTCGTCAATTTCGATACAGAAGGGACGCCTTTCCAGGGCATCTCGAATCTATAGATCGTATGTTCAGTTTTCCTTGACTGGATAGGTGCACGGCACAGGTACAGTGCGATCCATCGGCAAAAAATGCGCGTACGAAAGTTGCTTATGAATGTGCTGGTCTTTGATGAGAAGGTTCGAGGGCCGTGATGGCATCAATTGCACAAAGGCGAGATTCAGCACTGCAGGCACTGGTGATAGTATTCACTATTTATACAGACCCTGCGGATATCACAGCTTCAAGGCTGATTTGCTTAATTGGTCACCGAAGTCCCATACAGATCATAGTTTGTTTGGCTGTTCATGGTTTTGCTTGGTTATTCAATCACCAACCATGATTTTGTTGGCTTTCCAAAAAAAAAACAGACAGCTGAAGACTATACAAAGATAGACTTTGTTTCTGAGTTTTGAGACCCGAACTAGACAGTAGGTTTGTGCGTCTATTCGAGCTCCATGAGAAAGAACCCTGCTCTGAAATCAGGCTGGCACATCAAATATGTAGTACATAATGTCTAGTGGAAACAGAGTATCTTCACCTGCAAACACAAATCAGGAACTGGAAAAGACAGTCCAGTCTTCCAGGGCAAAAAACAAGTCATCCGCAGAGGGCACCAAACATTTCCGCCTGCCGGGACCCATCCTCATCCCTGATGTCCTATCCCATCCGTTTGGGTCATGATCTGGAAAGGTCATTACAGTGTCCAAGACCATCATCGGAGGAATCTTCATGGTTGTTGAGTTTGGGATCGACCAGTCGTTCATCTCAGAATCCTTCCACATCAACACATGGGTTTCGCTGCACAACTGACAAAACGAAAGAGTGGCAAGTTCATCATCACACTGAAGCAAGATACATCTTCCACTATTGCGAAGAGTGAGCCCCTCGACAATGCTTCAGAAAGGCCGCGCCAGCCCTAAGTGAAGGCGGGCTTCCAAATTTTGGGCTCAGCCCACGTAGCGCCTGTGTGAGCTGAAAATGGGGCCCCATGGGAAGTTGCTGCACGCAGCATCTTCAACCAACCGGTAGGGCCCAACCTCCAGGTGGTTGAAGATGCTCAGGTGGTTAGGCCCCAGGCACGGGGCGCAGGTACTGGAAGAGGGCGCAGCCAGTCCAGCCAGGCCGTGAGCCTCGCAGCCAGTCCAGCCAGGCCGTGAGCCTCGCAGCCAGCAGAAAAGGGCGAGGCCGTCTCACTTCAGGCATTCTGTCTGGCTGGACATGGTAGCACTGCTGGAGCGCTCGCTCATGGGGATGAGCGCCAGACCAGATCGGAGACGGGTGCTGGTGAGGCGCGAGCAAGCTGCTGGGCGGACCCGAGAAGGGAGGCACAGCCGCCATAGCTGGAGGAGGAAGGCGGTAATCCTTGGGCAAAGGGGACCATGAGGGGAGATCAGGGAGAAGAGAGGTGTACAGCTTACGCACCTGATGAAGGAAAAGTGGGCCGTTCGCATGGAGTCTTCAAGCGTTCATTGGGCAGATGACCTTCATTGTCGACCTGTTGTAGATAAGACTCCAGGGTGTTGGAGCTGTCTGTTTGTCATCTACCGTCTTCACCCGAATAGAATGCCCAGTCATTTTAGCTGTATGTGCTGCAACTTTCAGACTAGATACAGCGATAATGACCGGGCGTTCTATTCGGGTGAAGACAGTACTCGCCGAGCGCCAACATAGAAGAGCTACATTGTTGACATTGGTGATGGGAGGCGAGAAGAGGGCTTTCATTATCGTGTGACTTAATGCTTCGTGTTCACTCATTTGGTGTTATCTCGGTTTGCAATCTGTTTTCAGTTCGGGATCGAAGTTATTTGAATTTCTATGGAATGCTGCAATCTGGTTCAATCAACTTTGATGTCATTCGCACTGCCCATTTCCTTTTCTTTTTTTTTCCTTTTTTTAAAAATGAAACAGGACCTTATGGTCCTGGCTCCATATCCATTCTGGGAAACGTCAGTCCGGTTCCTATTCCACCGGCAAGCCACAATAACATGATACAACATAACATAGACCCACTCACGCATCCTTCCATCCGGCTGGAGGATCCCTGACCAGCATTGACTGCTCCCAAGTAAGGAGGATTAACTGTCAGCTTCCCCTAACATGTATTCCTCTCAGGGTTCCTCTGAGTCCCTGTCGAATCTTCTAGCCATAACAAGAATCACATGATGCGAGCTCTTCTGAGCCTTCTACTTTGCCTCCTGTGATGGTCTGGCCACGCACTGCTCATTTCCTTGCACTATGGCTAATCAGTGCAATCACTAATATATCTCACCACCACCTATCACGTTCTATGTGATGCATTTACCAATTTTCATGGCAAGGCCCTATCTGGCTTTGCCAGACAGCATCTGACAGCGACATGATTCTTGTTGTTGTTGTTGTTGTTGTTGTTGTTGTTGTTTTTGTTGTTGTTGTTGTTGTTGTTTTACAAAACAAAATGCCCCTTCTATTCTGGGGGGCTCAGTCCGGTTGATCATCACCGGCAAGCATGTTTTTATGTCTAAAAAGAGGAAATATGGCCCTAGACGCGTGGCAAGGGTGGCACTGTTTTGGGGCAACCCACCCCCATATCCTTAGCCTTTCGGGGGATTGCCCTACTGACCGGGAGGCTTGTTGACCTGCCATTCGTTTTTCCTTTTTTTTCCTCCTTTTTTCTTTTTTTTTGGGACCGTTTGAGGTCCATTTCTTGATTTATGCGTGTCATCCTTGCGCAGGGCCCATGGTAATGTTGTTTGTATTGTTCCAATTTTAACGGATGTCCCGAAGGACAAAAGTTAACCTGCCATTCTAATCAGCGCGCACTGCACAGTCCGAAGCCAGGCAGACAGGGATGATTGCACAGCCGTCGCACACAACAGAATTGACATTGAGCTGGGGGGTTTGCACAGAAATATGTTCCTTACCAACACCTCGCACAACCTCCACCGAACAGTCGACGCCTCCACGCATGCGCCCACAGTAACAAAAGCTGGAACCAACATTTCAATACCGACAAATACGCGAAAATGGAAAGGTCAGATCCACTTGCCAATCTCAAACACAATGGTTGAAAGCTGAAAGCCTGAAACTGATTTTCTTCTTCTTTCTTTTCAAGGAAAGAAGGGGGAGTTACCAACAAAAGAGGGGAGTAGCCCCCCTAATGTTATTATACCTGGCACAGGCTGGCAGGACTTGAACGTGATCCATTTATCAGCTGTTAATTATTGCCAGTTACATGTACATAACCGTCGTTTTTTATGCCACCACGTCCGTAAACAATGGGCCCAAACTGACGAATGGGATTTTTGTGGAGGTGGAGGAATGTGTGTTGTGAATTCGAAAGTGTGAAAACACTGAAAACCCATTGCCATAGTCAGCAACTCACAGCATTGAAATTTGAAATTGAATTCGGCAAGTGTGAAAACAAGCGAAAGCAATGTCCCATCTCGTACGGGGGTTAAGGGAGCAAGCACTGGCGGATAACATTGCAAAGCTTATGTGAAAGCAGGGAACGGATTGAAAACTTCAGTCTACTGCAATCATCCGTAATTTATTATTATTATTATTATTATTATTTTTTAAACAGGTCCTTATGGCCCTGGCTCCATTTCCTCTGGGGAGCATCAGTCCGGTTCCTTTTCCACCGGCAAGTCGGAATAAAATATTACATCATGAAAAACACTCACGCTTCCTTCCGTCTGGCCGAAGGAACCCTGACTAGCATTGATTACTCCTGCATAATGGAGGATTGACTGTCAGCTTGCCTTACTTCCACCTTTACTCTCAGGTCCATTGCACAAACCTGTCGATGACTAATAAAGAGCAAGAAAGGTAAGAGAAGATACGGAAGTTACAGTCCTGGAATTTGCCCTTCAATATTATGTGACCTGTGATGGATCTTGCCCTTCTGCTGGCTGGAATCTGTCTTCTCCACCCTGCTTCTGAGTTGCGCCAATCTTTCCATCATATGTGAGAGACATTTATCTCTGCCACTTTGCCCCTTGCAAGCCACACCTCAGTGAATTTTGTCTTGATTCTTCTCTGTTGCTCTTCATCATCTGGCATGGACTGCCTCGTCTTGTAACATTTACAAAGGATCTCCGCCTGAATCGAAGTCCTTGTCTCCCCCCAAACCTTCTCCCTTGGAGTTGAGAGTCCCTCAATGGTTCTACAGCACCTTTCCTTCCAGATGGACCAAAGCGTTACCTTTCTGATCATTCCAAACCACGTTTTCTCTGTCTTGTCGAATTGAGCCAGGATGTTAGTCCATAAGAGGAGTCGGATGGGGTGTTCAGGGAGGGGAGTCCAGAAGACGGAGTCCCAGAGATCCGAGGCCCTCGCCCTCTCTACATCGTATCAGCAATGTAGCATATCTTCTGGTTCATTTTCTGAACACACCGAGCATAAATCTGAACTGTTAGGGGCTTCTTCTGATGTGTAGCCGCTTGTTAACCGGTAGAGCTACGTATGAGATGAGCCATTGGAGGCTTCTGATTTTGACCGGACAAATTGACTTGAATATTTTCCATGGTATTTGTGGTATCTGATTAGCATCCTGACCTATTAACTTCTGCCATCTGTTCTTGATCGTTGGATCAGGATCCTTTGTTTTGAGGAGTAGGTTGTAACCCAGTTTGACTGTGTATTCTTGAATGGAAACATGTTAAAAGGGCCTTTACGGATTATACCCTAGATGAGTGCCCCAACAGCGAGGGGCCCTGTTGGGCAGAACTTAAATTCACGAGCAGCAACCTAAAAGACAAAGTTCCTGAGGCAAGTGTCGCATCCATAATGAAATGAAAAGTCGTTTTGAGCAGTCACAAACAGGTCCTGAACGAACAGGTATTGGACACAGTTTTCAAGACTGAGTTAGGGTCATGTCTCCTCGATGGAAAGTCATGTCTGTTCGCCAATAAGTCAAAGGCCACAGTCCCAGTCCAGTCATAATCCCACGAGTCAGTCCTGATTCAGACCAGGAGTCCAAAAGACAGGCCCGATGGCCCGAAGCAGCAGTAGACCATGGGAAAAGATACTGGGACACACACTTTGCAACAAAGGATACTGGGCAGGAGTCCCAGGCACACTTGATGCTGAACGCAGGCCACACCAGACCAGTCCAGCACTATAAAGGGCTGGCCAGCCTCCCACTTGGCAGATGCTCACTTCGCATGAAAGTGTGGAAGTGCCGTAGCACTTGTGCACAAGATGTGTGTGAGCTGCGCTAGGCTGTGAGCAGCGCCAAGTATGAGAGAGAGAGAAGAAGGGTGCAAGCTGGAAGAAAGGCAGCCATAGCTGCGCCAGCACCAGTTAATACTTTAGTAAGGATAGATAGTAGGAGAGTTCAGTGAGTCGTATTCAGAGAAGATCCTCATGTGATAGGGAGCGTGCATGCATGATGAGTGTTAGTAGGCCAGGACTATAGACATAGAGAGAGAGAGAGAGAAGAAAGCGGACAAGAGAGGGGGAGGAGTAAGCTATAGTGACACTTACCTGTTGAGTGATGTCGTTAACATTTGGCAGCTGGCGCTGATGAGCGCTAGGCTTGGAATTTATGTTGATCGAAGGAGAAAAAAACTCGGTTCGGCACTATACAATTTGGACTCACGAATTTCCTCTCTTAATCTGATTATGTTAATTGAGTTGAGCTTCCTGGTTCTCATTCGTGTTATGATCCTGGCCAATTTCGAGATACACATCCATCAGATAGTACAATGCCGTCCAATTGCAGAAAGAAATGAATGAACTTGAGAGGAGAGAGAGGATTAGGAGAAGAAGAAGAAGTAAGAAAGAAGAAGAAGATGATGTACACCAGCATAGACAAATGACAAGGCTCTTCTTCTTCGCCCAACAATCTCCTCCTCCTTATCTCCCCCTTCTCTTATTCACACAAGAAATAATAATACAATGTTGAATGGCTGATCCAGAATCAATGTCCGAGTCCCTCTTCTACTGCAGGTATCACTTGAGGTCCACCATAGCCATGGCGGCCTCCCCCACTCTTCACTCTCATAGGCCGAGGCTATGGCGGACTACTAGGCCTTGCCCAGATGCCCAAAGGACAACCCAAAGCAGCTATGGCTGCTCTAGCTCAGGCCGCCATGCCCAACCCTGCCTTGAAGCTTCTTGGTGTGGCTCTAGCTCAGGCCGCCATGCCCAACCCTGCCTTGAAGCTTCTTGGTGTGGCTCTCCCCAGTTGGGGACTCCCTGCTGCAGCGCCACCAAGGTGATGAAGATGGCTGCCACCATAGCCAGGTAAGTACCCCTGGCGCTCCTCCCCCTTCCTTCCTTCTTCCTCCCTTGTGTCCTTCTCCTTCCTCCCCAGCAGCGCTGCTCCAGCATAGCGCTGCTCCAACCAGCGCTCCACCAGTGTGTCGCCGGCCGGAAGATATAGCGGCCTGCTTTGCCTCTTGGGCGGTGACTTCCAGGCCGCTCGGCCTTCCAAGCAACCGGTACCTCCTCCCTTTCGGAGGGAAACATCATTGCAGACTCTGATATTGCCCGTACAAGCCCTAGACCCAGACTGGTTGGACTGATATCCACCTAGACCTAACCTACAACTACTGGGCCTCTAAAAATGCCACTTTTGTCTTCTTCTGCTCGGCCTCCAGTACCCGCACATCTACCCCTTCAGGGTGCGGTACCGGCCTACCCGTTACTTGAGTGTTTTTCCTGCTGCAATCCCTCAATGTCACGGCCACAGGTAAGTACTGACCCTGAGGGCCCAATGAACGAGCAAGTGCCCTTGCGGGCCACACACACACTCAAGCCAACCAGCACTCAGACAGGCACGGCCGCACACACACTCCAGCCAACCCGCACTCAGACAGGCATGCAGTCCAGCAAGCGTGCACACACAGATCTAGTAGCTAGCGGGAAACTCAGCAGGGCATTCAGTCTATGGGCAAAACTCAGAAATCAGCTGTGTGTTTCAGTCCATGTTTGGACGGGTCATCACATTAGTCTTCTATTGGGCTTTGTGTGAGACATCGCAATCTGTGAAATCTGTGTTTATGCATGTGATCTGATGCACTCCAGCAAGTGATGAATAATCGGGGTCCTTGCACATTCGTTTTGAGGCTTCTATTTCTGTCTGGTATCCAAGCCCACTCTGCTGGATCAAATTCCAAGTCTTGAATCGCCGTATCCGTTCTGAAGATTGTTTTTGGCCATGACCCCAATACTCTGACTTTTCTGAGTGCCTGATAAAGACCTGAATCCCCAAGCGTGAATCCATGCGCTAACTCTGTTGGCTGTGCTGTGTGACCGTGCCTTGGAAACAGGTAGAGTAGAAAATAAGTATAGGGTAGCAGCAGGAGGCATACCGAGTTCAGTAGGTCGGTCAGGGACATGCAACAGACGTTGTTATGGACCCGGTAGGGCTATTTCAGCAAGTCGGTCAGACCCGGAAAGGTCCGGAAGTGCTCAGTAGGTCATAATGGTTTAGGGCTCGATTGTAGACAACGTTCGAGGTAGATTCAAGACCCGCAGGTAGACATAAGTCCGCAGTAATGTTCCCGCCAAAAGCAGGAAAAACCCGGCAGAGGCAGGAATTGTCCAGCCAAGAGGTACGGAAGACCGGGCAGCAAGAGTATACCATTTGATGCAATGAGTACCCTGATCACTGACCTGGCACTCATGCTGATACTCTACCCAGAAGGAGAGTGAGGCGGAGCACTTGGGTGGTGGAGGAGCTGAGGGTGACGAAGAAGACCTCCACGGCTACAGAGGAGAGCAGTGGGAGGTAGGAGAACGCCTAGGCTATAGAGGTGAGTTGGAGGTCGAGGAGGGGAAAGGAGGGGGGAACCAACAAGGAGACTTACCTTTGGCTATGGTGGACCTTCATCTTCAACTTCCTGGTTGACGCTGAATCAAGAACGCCCCTGCAGGGGTACCAGTTGCACACGGACTTCATCCGGAGGGTGGCTATAGTGGAGAACTCTAACGTTAAGGAAGACCTGGGCACAGGTGGGGTCCATGCATATGCAGTCATCCCCCATCTGTGCCTCATCCGACAGACTCTATGGGCAGTGAACCCCCCTTCCACTAAAATGCGAATCATGCGATATCCTGCCCTCCCCCTGTCCTAAGCATGATGCCTTCCTACCCAAGGCTCCCCAAGAATCCACAATCCCAACTCATTCCCCCAATGAGAATTACCACGGACCCCAGCCTGGATGAAGCACCACCCGCAGGCATCATGAGATACCTGTGGGATGAAAGTACCCAGTACCTATCCCTTACTGACACCCAGTGGGTGAAGTTTTTTTTTGCCAGTTCTCTTTCTTGTTCAAATGTTCTTGTTCCGTTTCAGCTGCAAGGTTCTCCACATTTGGGAGGTGAGCCAATAGTGGCCCAATACACTCATCTGCTACAACTTATAGCTTTATAACAGCAAACTTGCATGATGCGGAGTGAAGAATGAATGACGAATGGAGAATGCAGCGGACGAGTCAAGGGTTGGCAACTTAGTCAATTCTTGTGGATGGAGGGGACAGGCGCGATCCAAGTGATGTATGGAAACTGACAGGGCCAACCAAGGGAATTCTACCTGCAAACAGCCGCCACGACGGCTGGGCATTGATTGACGTTCCCCGCAAAGTAGTCACAAGAAACAACACAGAGAATGGCAGGCCCGGACGACTGAACACAGCAGATCACTGGCCAATCACTGTGGCATCCTTTGTCTGCGAAGCAGACACAACTGTCTGTGTGTGTGGAGGCCGCACACTTAACGCATACAATGGAGAAAGGAAGACAACCAATACATCGTCACGTATAATCCAAAGGGAGCATAAGCAATTGTTATGGCCATTTCCTAAACCACTGACCCTTTTCCCTATCCTAACCTATTTAGCGCCATCTACATCCTCCTGCCCAATCCCCCCTCCTCAAGTCATTGACCCTCTTGGCACTCTTTCCTCGCCAACTATTTTCATCAGTGGGAGTGACATCTCCCGTTACACTGCTGAGTGCTCTGTGTCATCTGAACTGAGGTCCTACCAAACGGGATGACTCAACCGTGATCCATCGGTTGGTTGTTTTTCCTTCAACTTCGCCGTCCTTCGGTTGGCTCCAATCCCCTCTACCAACCCTAACCAAGGAGTAATTACTAATTAGCTGATCAATTCTGCCCTTACTTGTGGAGGTCCCTTGGTGGAATTCACACTGCACACCAACGAATACCAGCTAGCGAGGCTGATATGCATGCCTGAGATTGGTTCCCAGTCCATCCATATCCTTACGACGAAACCGCGGAAAAAATCAGCGAGGCTATGTTGCATGTTAGCAGATGTCAGACCATTTTTTGTTAGAACCCCCCCCATACCATACCGCACTCTTTCGATCTTCTAAAGAAAACAATAGACTACACTCCAGTACAAGGAGCTGACACAGTGTGAGTTGACTCAATTCATTGTTTTTTTGGCCAAGGCCACTTTGCTTGGTGGCAATGGCTGGAAGTCAAGGACAAACAGATTGCGGAAACAGTGTCTGCACAACCAAAGTAAATATAGAGAAGAAGGTTGGATTCGGAGAGACTGTAACATAGTGATGCAACAAGGATGTGGTTGTTGAGAGACTGGAGGGACTCAAGAATCTTGCACAGTGCCGTGAGACATGCCCGGAGGAGAGGAAAAGGGGACTGAGATTCGGAATGGTTAGGGGAACGGGAGAGAGATCTGGCATGGTTTAATTCGTGGATAAGCAACTTTACCACAATAATAAATTAATAATGAGTTAATAAATATTAAATAGTAACAAGTTAGTAAGTTAATAAGTTAATAATCATTACTTGAATCACACTTACAAAGTTCACATGCACAATTGAATGAATGGAGATTATGAGACTTGGAGCTAGGCACACTCCAATAGAAGGGAAATGTCTGAATCACATCTCAGAGAGATATAAATGTCTAGAAATTTGTAATTAGCGGATATAAAAAAAAAAACAAGGAGGGAAATGTCTGAATCACAACAAACATTGCATATTCACATGCAAAGGAACAGTGTGGGCCAAGCGAAGAACCTTTTTCTTTTCTTTTTTTTTTTTTTTTTTTAAATTGACCAAAATGGAACAATAACAGATGACACCCCGAGTCCACCAACATCAATGAGACCCATAGTCCAACCCAGGCCGGTCATTCAGCCTGCAGCTGAAAAGATTTGAGGCGCATGAATAACAGTAGAGCACTACCTGTAGAGATGGAGGCCAGATCCATCCAGTGAATTGTGACAAGTTCCATGATTGGAGCATCTCCTTGGGCAACCATGCATTCGCACTCGCAACTGGGCTTCTGGTTCCCATTCAAGGACACTCCCAGCTGTTACAAGGCAAACGATATTATCACAGACATTCCGTTGATTCAGATGGCATTGAAAACAACGAATTTTAATTTAATAATTTATTCGTACATCGAGGTCCTGGGCACCCTGCCTGGGGTGGCTGGGCCACCCTGGTCGGGTAAAACATGCTGGTTTTTTTTTTTTTTTTTTTTTTTTTT